TATATATATTTCGTACTTATTAAATTACCTTTGTTAGCGTCCATCCCTCCAACAGCTAACAACGTACCCACGGTAGCCTTTCTTGGCTTTGTTCTTCCTGATTGTAGCAAAGGCCTTCGTTCAGGTAACAAATGATACTTCAATGCTTCCATTACTAATTCCTGTGCCATCCTTTGGTCCTTGAACATTTCGTTGCTCTCGATATTGTCAGCTATAAACTGTTTTAATTTATTAGTTGAGCCAATACATAATACGGTTTTGAACTGAGATGAAATAGTGTAAATGAACTCACCGCGGGTGATAGTAACGGTAATTTGACTAAACCTAGTAATTTGCTAGCGTCTTTGCTCCTATTTTCTGGATCATGTTCCAGCCAAGTCATAAGTGCCTAAAAATAACAACAGTTTTAATAACAAGATTGTTCCAAAAAGATGGGGCGTGTGGAAATATTTTATATAAATTTCACTATCTACTTTGATAAATGACAGCATGTAATAAATCTTACATGGAAGATAGTTTCTTCTGATGGAACACTAAGATCCTCAGATTCGAGTAGTTTTGCAACTTCATTAGCAGATAAAAGTAAGAACTCTTGGTTTCTTGTAACTTCCATGAAATGTTTGGTCGTGTATGCATGCGCATGCTCAAATAATTCTGTACAACCCTGTGTATCCGCGAACATCCGTATGCCAAGACAGTTGCTTGGATGAAGTTGTTTAACAAGAAATTGGCAACAAGCTTTAATAACTGGATTCAATTGCAGCAAGCATGCGGTTGCAAGAAGGGTCTCTACACTATCTTCTTGTAATTCTATGCAACCTAAACATATATATAAAAGTCAACATTATTGAGAATGTTAACAATATGATTAATACTATATGTTCATATTATCTTTAAATTTTGTCTGTCTATAAGATAAATGCAGAATATTAAATAGGATTAACCTGTATAACAATAAAGAACTAAAGCCCATAATGCATCTCCATCTACATCCATTAATTCTATTTCATCTTGCACTGCCTCTCGCAGTGAACTTGTGAACATAGCAGCAAAGTATTCAGACCCAGCACTGAGCACCAATCGATGAGCTGGAAAACGTCTATTTCCTACAACAAATACAAATTATAAAGTACAAAAAGACATAATTCTTGAGACCTGGCAAGAAAAGGATACATTAATATTAGGTCAAATTATTGGATATAAATTAATAAGATGTGTTCTCACTTATATCTTTTATTATTTACTAATCAGGAACTTCAAGTAACAGCATCAAATTATTCACTGACAAAAGGTTCCAATAACAATTTTTAATAATAATAAAAATGAAAAGGGAGAAACCTTTGACAACTTTAATTATTCATTAGAGTCATTAATTTTGAGATGCCAATTCTCTACCTTTCAACCGAGACATTCGATTAATCATTAGCGAACATTATCCAATCATTGACAGTTGCACGTTACAGTGCAGACGCGTTATTATTGCAGAGACAGTTTTCCAGCCGCTCACCCGCGATCAGCGTGACGTCCGTCAGCTGCTGTTTGTGCAGATAGCTTTCCATGACGCGCAGGCTATTCTCTGCATGTTTCGGCGAGACGGACACGCACGAGATCATGCTGGAGATGCTGTGCTCGCTGGCATCTTTGTCCAAGGTCAGTGGGAACTCCTGCTGGTCGCCTTTGTTCGCGGGAACGCTTGCCGCTACTTTCGATGACGATGACGACGACGACGACGACGACGACGACATCGAGGCGAAGAGGATGACAATGACAGTTCGATTGGTCCACTTGCGAGAAACACGCACAACTCTGGAGATGCGTGAAGATGCACGCCAATGTAAACAATAGATCGCGCTCAGTCGCGGTCAATGACCATCACTCATCTCACTTGCACGGGTCAGCGCACTCGGCACTACTCGGCTCGGCACTGACTATTGCCGTTGCTCCCGGGCATTCGATTGCATCGAGCCGCTCACTCACGTTCTTTCGCAGTGCGCTGCTCGTACGTACACATATGTATATACGTCACCACATAGAGTAAACAAAGAGCTAAGCGTGCGTGTCGAACGTTGGTGTGCATTCACGAAGGTATATGCACATGCATGCAGTAGACGGGTGGCAAAGGGATGTCAAGGTGGATGACGAACTCCGAAGCGAAAACACCCTTATCTAAAATGAACTAAACATGTTGATGTCATATGCTGACACTATCGATTTTATGTACATGTAAATATTTATGGAGCAATAATCAAAACACTATGCTAAATAAGTGCTGATATAATCGTGTAATATTAGTAAAACAAAGGTCACTTAAGATGTTACATGCTAAATGTTCCAATAACTGAACTAACAACAAAGTACAAAAAAAAAATTTACATTTTTATTAATAAATAAATTTATTAATACGAATTTTACATTTTTATTAATAAATAATTAATGGATTACTAACAAAACCAACGTTTAATATAAAACTTTATCTGAGCGATCGATAAATAGTAGGAAATAAAATAATAACCATCAATTATAAATTTTAATAAGATATATTAGATAATATTAGTTGTATCAGTAATTGAAGTGAAAAAATAAATCATGTCCTAATTAACGAATAATACAGATTCAATGATTGAGTGATTATTAAATAATATTACAAATTAACATAAATAGAAATATTTTGACAAAATTTGTTATAGGATTTCTCAGAAATATTAAATACAAATATATTATTAATGATTTAATCATTGAAACAAGGTCCAATTACTGTAACATTTACCTTTGTGTAAGAGTCCTTCAGGCTTTAAAGTCAGTTTTTCAAAATGGAATTGTATGAGTAAAATAATATAACAATCTTCATTAGAAAAGTCAGACATTTATTGTACTTTTCAATGTAAATATATAAATATTTTTCTTTGGATAGTTTCTTGTGCGAGCATGTTCTATATGAATTACAAATATTTATATAATTTACATACAGACGCAAATAGAATTTGCTTGACACAATAACCATGATTTTTAATATAATACACATATGCATCAGGATATAACTATGGTTATAAACCGACTATTTAATTTACATTTTAATTCTGGGTTATATATAATTAATCCTGCATGTTTGTTTATTTTTCTACTATAAGATCAATTTTATATCGAATAACTTTATACATAGTTGTCTAACTAAATGCAGAGCTGCTATAACTTGATCAGATTTTATGTACTTTACTTAAATTGTTGTAAATAAATAGTTATATCGCTGTATATTTAAATACGTAGTATGATCTTCTTTACGATAACTTTGGTATGTAACACTACAACGATTGTGTAACAATTGAGCTACAACTATGAAAAGTTCCTGTCATTTATTTTTTTCAAGAATATATTTTTTGAAATTACATACCTTAATAATAATGTACTATTATTATGCGAATTCATCAGTTTTTCAGTGTCAGCACTAACTTATGATCTGTTCTTTTTAACTGCATTGCTGAACTAGTGCAATAAGTTAAAGTGAAACAAATATTGGTCTGTTCTTTTCAGCTGCACTGCTGAACTGGTGCAATAAGTTAGAATGAGAAAAAATATACTTGTCTCACTTTAACTTATTGCACTAGTTCAGCAGTGTAGCTGAAAAGAACAGACCAATACTTTCTCTCACTCTAACTTATTGCACTAATTCAGCAGTGCAGCTAAAAAGAACAAAGCATCATAAAGTACAATAAAAGTGCATGTCGCGTGCAATATTGCACGCGGATATAAGAAATTATTCTGGTAATTTCAATTAAATATTATCAAATAAAAGTTTTTACGCGTGACGCAACGTTAAAACAATTATTTTATAAGTATTAAAAGTTAAAAGAAGATTTTCTGTCGATATGTTATAAATAGATGCTTTTTTAAAATATTACAGAACGAAATTTATGCGGTGGCAGTAACAGAAACATATGGCAAGCCGTCTGGTTGTATATTTTGGCTATATCAACACCAATAAGAACTAACCATGGTTACAGAATCTCTTTCGTCTTCCGTATAAAGATACTTTAATGTAAAATCGCATCTACATCGATGTTAAAAAAATTGATCCTACTTTTATTCAATCCTTCTCACGTTGAAGAAACTAATCGTCGTATTTTTGAACAAAGTGCTAACTTTGGTAAAATAATTATTTATATGCTATTTTACTATTATTTTCGTTATATCAGCACAATTATAACATATGTAAGTTACATTAAAAAATAAAAAATATACGTTCGTCTACTCACATTGTGAAGATATTATTTATATTTCAATTTTAAGCAGAATCGAAAGTCTCGTAACTTATTCTCGTAAAATTCGTAAGAATTTATAAGTAGATTTACAATTGTGTGCAATATCATATGTCATATAATCACTTGTAAATATCGTAAATTACATGAAATCGTAGATATTTACGATTAATTGTACAACATATAATATTGCATAAAATTGTAAATCTACTCATAAGTTCGTACGTATTTTACGAGAACAAGTTGCGAGACTTACGATTCTGTTTAGAATTACAGCATTAGTCTCTTCTGTTACATCTTATCTGTACTGCGACATGTAGACTCGTTAACCAGGATCGTTCTAGATTAAAGATGTTGACACAATCAAATTATTGAGTATTTGTAGTCGCGCCGTAAGACTTCCAAGTACTCTCAATTAACGCACTATACGCAGATGGCTCCTCCAGAGACTTGCTCGCACTTAGTCGAGCAGTCTGCGGTGGACGATTCCGAGAAAGATTCGTAAAAGGGCCTTTTTCGACAACAACAAAACCGATCAAGTATGTCCGTTAGATTGCTCTTCTCTGACTCGTCCATGAAGAGACCGCTCGATGCCTCATCTGTGCACGGTGCTATAAATGTCTGTAAGTCGTTCTTCGGGAAACCGTCGCGATAATAGATCTTAATGGTATCGTAGGCATCCATTATCACAGAAATGAATAAACTTAATACGACGTAAATGTAAAGCGAGATGAATGTATATAAATAAATCCTAGAATACCACCACAGCACCGGTGACTTGGAAGACGTGATGGAGAATGTGGCGAACATGTCGTCGCCGTTGATCAACGCGAACAAGCACTCGGATGTGGTCGCGAGAGAGCGGAACTTCATGTTGTACGGGCCGAGTACCAACCAGCCGCAGAACGTGAAGCCGGCGTAGATGAGGATCGCGCATATCAGAAACCTCGCTACTTTCGGCGTTGCTTTCTTCAAAGTCAAGATCACGACGTTGTACGTCTTGAAGAAACCAAGGTAACGCAACACGCCGAACCACATCAACAGATTGCCAGTACCGAGAAATATGCTGCATATGCTCCAGTGGTCGCTGCTCGAATGCTGGCGTTCAATTCTCTCTTTTATGATGGAACCAATGATGATTAGTAGATCATTGATGATAATCATGATGTACCAGAAGTTCAGGAACTCCAATTGACCTTCGAGACTCAACATTTTGCCATATGTATTTTTAAAAAAGTTCATTGTATCGAATTTCAACATTTGCGCTCTATAAATCGCACGTGAACACAGAACGAAGGAGATTGAGCAGATCAATATGACGAGCAAATTCAGCAGAGTCCTCAGTGCTGACTCGATGCGATTGTCCGTGATATAACGGGTGTCACCTTTGCACTGCAATTTCCTCGGCTCGGCGTCCAACGAGAGTAACATTTGTCCGTCGAAATCACGATTGTCGAAATTAATTCGAATATTGAAACGATAGCAATCAGGCGGCGTCATCGGTCCCGCTGCTTTCAGGTTTACCGTCTTTAGACTAAACTTGAGTTGAGCACGTACCAGCGCAGAGAAATTGACATTAATATTTTTGTCCTGCAGTAGATTTTGCGACGAATTGAACGTGTCGAAAGCTTCCAGAGTGATGTTCATGCACGTTTCCACTACCTCGTTATCGAACACGTAGCTCTCGTTAAAGCCGAATATAATGCCTTCTTTGTATTGATAGAGACACAAAGTTAAGGGTCCAACCGAATTATTTTCGGCGATGTAGGAGTATGAACCGATGGCGTCGTCAATATTGTAGTAACCTTGCAGAGCGTAATCGATAGCATCGTAGAAACTGCTGCGTTTGTAAACGGCCAATGGTCCTGTCGCTGGTGGATACGCGGGCACCTGAAACGTAATATAACTTTTGTAAATACATTCATCTGCTTAGTTCTCAGAAACTAGTGATCGAAGAAGAAGATACTGTCTTAACTTAATTAAAGAGTTTATTTTCAAGATGTTTTAAATTGATATTTTGACGAAAGAAACTTAGGAAGTTATCTCTAATAAAGTGTCGCATACACACAATTTTATTTCTTTTTTAATATATATGTATGCAAAATAAGCCCGTAGATATATAGCTACATTAAGTCTCGATATAAAGATCAAAATATAAAGTAGTAAAAACGCTCGATGACTCGATGACGCTTGATCACTTGTCGATTTGCATCTGATAAATAATGCTGTACAAAAAGTGAAAATTTTAAAGTATTTATACTTTCTGCTCAATATTATTGAGAAATGAAATTATCATCTATATTCATGCATGTGCGAGTAAGTAAAGGTACATACCTCTTGAGCAGAGTCCCATCCCATCAAAAACAGATGAGAGAACGTGATTCGGTTGTCCCATGTATAGTTTACGTGCATATAATTATTGTGCGCGAACAAACAGAGTTGTGCGGTCACAAGGAAGATCTTGATGAGCTGAATAATAAATTTGTAGGGGAAACGTCGCTTCGCCTGCCACTTCTCGATCGGATTCATAAAGAAAAATCGTAGTTTGCGACGCATCTTCTCCTCCGCGAACGTCACGACCGGGCAAGAGTTGCATTCCGTCGAAATAGAATTCTGCCTGCAACCACATAGTTTCATAGTTTTATTTATAATGTTTCATAGTATTTTCAGGAAAATTCTTATTATATTATGTTTTTATTTCACTATATTTTATATGCTCTAATTATTTAATAACTCCCCCTCCAAATGTATATTTTACTTTTTTGAGTATTCATAGTTATAATATTATATCATTTTACTTGAGAATCTTGTCAATTGATACTGATTGTTTCTCCATCCCTTTTTCCTTTTCCATCTCATTACATATTTTATATTCAATATCAAAAGGTAGTAGAAATATAATATTTTACACGGGGGAAAACGATCGCGCTCACATATAATCGCGCGTATATGAAACAGTAAGTGTTTCTAATTAAAATGTCTAATATACGAGATAATAATACTGAAAAAGATAGTGCGAATAGCATTAAAAGTATCTCAGATCATTCTTGGATCATCAGATATTCACATAGACGAAAACTATAAATTATACATCATACATCTATATAATCGTTATTGACTTTTTGTGAAGAGATACTATCGATCATTTGAATTGGTAAGAAAAATAAAATAAAAATACTTTCGCATTATCTTATCTCTGAGCATGACTAATAAATTAGTAAGTAAATAGATTATATGTATTTATAGTAACATAGTAATCACTAGATAGTATATCGTAATATTTATAATATAATATTTATTGTAATTATGTTTGTGTATACAAATGCATATGTTTACTATAACATTTGGTTGTCAACAATGATGATATATTTAACGGTGTTGTACAATTGTTATTTTTTGCACACAAGCATTAAAATGATACGAGTTGAACAAATGACATAAGGGTTTAGTGAAATTTAGCAGATAATACTATCGACCGAAGAATAGTAACCTTAGCGCGATAACAACGTAAAATAAGAGGCATATTTCGTAACTACGTATTCCCCAATGGCATAAAATAGGCAACAAATAAAACATTAAAATTATTCAAGGTATTTACAAATTACAAGATATTTATCACAGAGGTATAACAAAATATGGCATTAACCAAACGCGCGTTTTAACTCCATAAGAATTCATTCATTTTAACAAAATTGCGTTACATAGACATACAACAATGTAAAAACAAGAACATGTGTTAAATAATGTTAGCACTATATAATTTGTGTAAGAAATTAACATCAAGTTAGAAGTTTATGTTTTTGTCGACATGTATATGTGACGACAATAATCGATGACTTTTACAACATTGTAGTGCGTTTTTTAATGCTTGGACATATAACACAGACAGACCACAACCGTCTCGAGTTTCCAACGATATGTAGCTTTATCAAACGGTTACTACTACCATTTATCATAATGTCATATCGTCGTCACGCGGTTGAAATATATCATGCATAACTCACAATAGTCGAACATTCTAATTCAAAATGTATTAAGTTACTCGAAGTAAAAATTGTATCGACCTGAACGCGATGACATCGAGACAAACTGTTACATATAAGATGCGTACACAAATATTATGCGTGCAAAAATATCATTCTACTGTTAAGAAAAGTGATTACTCAATTTAGTATTACACAGTCTTTTTCTGAAATAATTCTATTACCTTCAACAAAGAATATTTTCTTGAAAATAATCTTTGAATATATTCATTACAAATTTTAGAGAAATTTATTTTATTATATGTGTATGTACTTAAAAAAGAAGAATTTATTCTTTTTACAAGAATATCAAAAAATTTTATCTAAGAAAAAAATTAGTTTGAAATTGACTAAATTTATTTAAATTCAGAATATATTTTGAATACATTTGACAGATGAGGTAAACTTGCATGATAAATTTGTAGATATGTAAATTTATAAAATATTTGAAATAAATTTATTTGTGTGCAGTATATGTTTCTTTGTGTGTACAGTGAGTGGCAAAACAGTTTAAGCATATAATGAAGTTGGAAGCTCACCAAGCTAACAAAATTTAGAATTATTATCAAGGGATTTATATAATCATAATATAATTAATAACATAATTAAGGGTACTAGATAATAATCAATGATATAATAATATCAATAATAATTAATAATATACAATTATAGAGCAAATCTATCAGTAATAATTCTCAATTTTGATAGTTTGGTGAGCTCCCAACTTCATTGTGTCTAAACTGTTTTGCAACTCTCTGTTTTATCTTAGTTCATTAATAATTATCGAGACACGTGATTCAATAGTGCTCGCGATATCACTAAGCGTGTAATCTCTACGATCTGTGAATAATTTTGATAAGGCTGCTTGTTAGCTCATACATTTGTTCACGCGCGAACCTTGGCTCGTTGGCTTCGTTCAGCAATACGTTCTCGCTGGCGACCTCATTCTCGTCGTCGAGACCGTGACTCCAAGAACGATTGCGCAGGATGTTCCCCGTGGAGTCCTCGCGTTGCACCCTTTTGTGTGTTTGCATTCTGCGGGACTTCGATGTATCCAATACGACGAAGTCCACAACGGCGGGAGCGCGACGAGCGTCGTCAACGTCTGATTCTTCCTATCCTGCGGAATCGTCGTCCCGCACTTCGACTGGCGACGATACAACAGCCAGCTGTTCACATGCGTGGATCTATGTAACAATGCGTGGCATTAGATGCGCTGTCAAAACACAGCTCAGCCACTGTTTTCTACACTTTCTCATCGATGGATTGGAACTAGGTTAGGTTAGGTTAGGGTTAAGTTCAGACTGAACGTTAATCACCTGTGCGTGATGCGTAACTGACAGCAGATACGACGATCCTACGTGATTGACTGCATCCATTGCACACCCGACTCGATGTAACGACCGAGCGCGACTGAACAACGTCTGGACAGCGCACCAGTTTGCACTCGTTGTTTCGTATCAGTGGTTAACAGCAAACGATGAAGGGGAGCGTAGCCAAGGCCTGCAATGTCGCGAGTCCGGACTTGTGCGCATGCGTGTCACATCGATGACGTATCCAATAACATGCACGATGCACATTCCATTTGTGCGAGATGTTTTGGCGGGTTGGTGACATAGAGGTTAAGTCAAGTAGAAGACGCGCGAGCAGGTAGGTAAGTTAATATCATTTCTTGCAATATATATATATATATATATATAAATCACGGTAAACATGGATTCCGATATTTTAAAAGAGACTATTACAAATAAGAAATTAGAAATTTTAATAATTTATGGCTGAAACTATTTTTAAGGGATAGTTGGCTCTTCATCCCATGAAGATGAAATTTTGTGCAATGTACGCAAAGACCATTATGTATCAAACCATTATCTGGGCCAAGATCTATGAATTATGTCTATTAAGGTCTGTGGCTGACGTAGATTCAATTCCATCAACCTTCTTAAAAGTTGATTAAAACTTAATTTGAGATTAAGTCTTTGAAGATAGTTTAAATTCAGATTTTTTAAGACTTAATCGACGCTAGTGAAATCGAGTAGTAAAAAGTGAAGTAGCCTCGCTACCTGTATGTCACTACGCAGGCGCGTCAAACACTATTTGAAAAGATCTATGTTCTCTCTGCTGCATCTTAGTATTTTCAATAGATTTTTTCGACTTTTCTTTTCACCTTTCCTATATTAAATCTAAGTTATTTATATATATTTTTTTTTATATGTCTATATTCTTTCTCCTTGTTTTAAGTAGAGAAAAATTGATTTTAAGACGAAGAAATCGAGACGATCCTATTTGCGCGCACTGATTGGCCATGTCATTTTCGATTCGAGATATCGATTTAAAGCGTTGTAATTCAAAGAGCAAAGTGACGTATCTTGACGTGCATAAAGTTATATTATTTTTGCATAAATTATAGTGTACCGTAAGGCGGTTTGTATATTTTTACATTGTCGAACAACTTTGGATATAGCTGAGTTCCAATGATGGCATTCATCGAGTTGGTGAGTAAAAGCTTGCTTTTAGTCTGCTTCAATTTAATTAGTCTTCCTGCCAGTGCTTCTTTTAATCTTAATTTAGTGGATCTCTTTCGCAATCATGACGAATAAGACTATTGCGTTGATAGATTGAATAATATCGCTCCTCTATAATTAATTTCATTTTGTTCTGATTATATGGCTTCAAGTGGATTTAAAAGGGAGCCAAGCTGCGATGAGTATTATATCAATTTCTATTATGTATTTTAAGGTTTCTCTTGAAAGGATTCATTCTTGTGATGAGAAAAAGTTACATTATAAATACTTTAAACGTGGCATAATATATTTCCTTGTGAATTTACGAATACTTCGAAACTTACGTTACGATGTATTCTTGAAGAAAATAAGTTAGGATATTACGTGCAAAAGTAAGATTAACGTAATAAAAATATTCATGCTTTGTATCATATCGGAGTTCTTTATCTCTGCTTTCAATTCTGTTTAAAATGCTGTGTATTCCTAACGAGAAAAAAAACGTCGTAGTCATGAGAGGATTGCGGTTCACTGAGAAGACAAATATAATTTCTTAACGCGAGTGTTCGGGATTATAATAGGATAAAATTTATGGAGAGAGTAAAAACTTTTTATAAATTTGTAGTTTATAAATAGTTAGATCTACTTTAATGTATGTGTATGTTTTTTGTGTTACAGCTTAGAATACATTTTTTTTTATAATGTAAACGTAATCTCTCATAAAAATAACGAAACTTTCTAAAGACGCCATATGTTAATATTGGATACAAGAAATCCGATTTAAATTTTGTAACTTCGCTAAAATTGCTGAGACTTCCGCACTCCTATAAATTCGACAGATGCAAATTCGTTTTCCTTTGAAATAAGAACTTGCAATAATAAAATTATTGGTTGGATTAATGAAATTAATAATAATAAATTTATAAGAATAAAATCTAATATATATTAATACTTACTGCAGTATTAATATGTTTTATTTAGAAGAGACACAGATATGGAAAGTAACGCAATGGATTTCGGGAAAAAATTTTAAATCAGTCTTTAATCTAGAAAAATAGAATTGTACAAGTTTTCAAAAGGAACCTCTATCAGTATTTTTTGACCCACCTATTTTTATTGTTATATTATCAAAGTAACATACAGAATAATAATATGTTGTTACCATGGAAAAAGAATTGCATGATTTCTCTGTTTTGGGGTAAACGTTTTCAAAATTTTAATAGGCCTGTTCTTTTTCGCTGCACTACTGCACTAGTGCAATAAGTTAAAGTGAGAAACATATATGAAAATATACACATATATGTGTCTCGCTTTAACTTATTGCACCAGTTCAGCAGTGCAGCGAAAAAGAACAGGCCTAATGTATTGAAATACACTGAAATACGAATACACCTTCATCGAAATACATCAAATGTCTGCTGCCCAGCTATTAATTGTTGCTTCGGAATTAAGCATCGCTGTTGGTTCCAATTTCAAAGTTAACATACACGCGAGTATTCAAATATGATATGTTTATTCTATACGTTCCTAGAAAATATGTGACAGCTTTTGCAACTCCATGCGAACAATATATTTTGTTTTAATATTTACGCATTCTAATCGGCAGAATTTAGTTAAGATGCTACCCGATGAATAAACATAAGATTTACGCTGTTGTGCGATCAACGCCGAATTTTCTGAAGAAGAAACACTTCGCTTTCACGGTAAAATCTTCGTTGTGCAAAATGCAACGAAACTGTCAACGCTAATGGCAGCAGCTAATGATTGAAAAGTAGAAATCAGAATAAAACGAACGTGAAGGTACACCGATATAATGTGTACACATCATCTGTCCACATGGAAAGATTAATCTCGCGATGTATATTGACGTTACTGCGCGTTCAATGTTTGCAGATGGATACAGATATATCGAGCGACGGATACAATGCAATACAGATGCAACGTAGCGAGAGCGACTGTGTGCCATAACATAACATCGATCCGTCGAGAACCGGACGAAAGACATCCCAGTTCTTGCGAGGGAACGCGTACCATCGAATTTTTCATCACATCTGTCGCTTTTCTCCGGTTCTTATTCAGGCTCGGAGGAGATTTGCGTCGAAATGCGGGCCTGGAAAATCTCGTCGCGAAATCGGACTTTGGCAAGGGAGAGGCATGTTGCGAAATACGGATAGTAAACACGGGAGAGAAGATGTGGACACGTCGAAGTGGAACGAAGCTCGCCAGGCCAACGGAGAGCTGGGGATAGGCGCACTCTGGAGCAAGTCGTTGCGCTACGCGGCAGCCTCCTCCGAGGGTGAGAATCGAATGGCGCTGATTCCACGGGGGTTGCGCGCGCGTTGTCGCGATATCGGCGGTGGCTGCGCGTTGACACGGCGCGCGTTCTCCCTGCGCGTCGGCGGCGCATATTACCGTATCGTACCCTCGCGATACGGAGGAGAGAACGAGCGAAGAGTGTGCGTCCTGCCGCGCGCGCCAACCGCCTACAGGGCGAGAAAGCGCGCAGCCGAGAGAACCGCGCGAGCCCGAGCTCGGTCTACGTGGTCGCGACATAGGCGCAGTCTGTCCCACCTCGTCGTTGCGACTGCTTCTTCTTACTCCGGCGATCTGTGCGCGAATATCGGCCTCGAACGGCATCTACGTTCACCGTGCTTAAGCAAACACAAGCTCGGCTCACAAAAACAACTCACCAGAAGACGTTGAAGTACGTCGCCGTGGGTGTTCTCTCACGTGCGGGTAACGAGTGATTCTCGCTCCTCGGATTTGCGACGAGTGCATTGCGGGCAATCTTTCTTCATCCGTCATCCGATTCAACGAATACAGCGTCGCTGATCAGTAGCGCGTCGCGATCGACTCTGGGATCACCTGGGTCGTCGACCCGTGATCTCCTACCTGTCTCTCTGTCGTAGTGTCGCGCGTCTGTCGAGTAGAGAGCGTCCCATCGTGTCTGCAGCACACTCTCTTGTTGCGTCGTGTCTCGTGATCTTTCCTCGGCCAAAATACTCCGCTAGAACCCATCAAAGTCCTCAACTGCGAGTGCTACTGCAGTATCCTGATCTACCCGTCGGTGAGTCATCACCGTCGGTTTACAAGCGAATACTCGTCGTCTACCTTCCACGCTCCGTCAGCTGCCAGCATGGTGGACCAAGAGCAACAGCAACAGGACACGGTGCCGAGTGTGGTCGAGTTGAACGTGGGCGGCGTCTTCTACACCACCGCCTTGACGACGCTGACTCGCGAGAGCGACTCGCACCTGGCGTCACTCTTCACCGGCAAGTCCACCGTGGAGAAGGACGCCAAGGGCAAGTACTTCCTGGATCGCGACGGTGTGCTGTTCCGCTACGTGTTGGATTTCCTGCGTAACCAGGCGCTGGTATTACCCGAGGGTTTCCGCGAGCGCGAGAGACTGAAGCAGGAAGCTAGCTTCTACGGCTTACCCGGCCTGGAGCGGGCTATTTTGGAGAACACCGAGTCCGGCGGCGGGCAAACTGGTGGTGCGGTCGGCAAACGCACACCGGGATACATCACCATCGGCTATCGAGGTAGCTTCGCCTTCGGTCGCGAGGGTCTGGCCGACGTCAAGTTCCGGAAGCTCTCGAGGATCCTCGTGTGCGGCCGCGTGGCACTCTGTCGGGACGTGTTCGGCGAGACGCTAAATGAGAGTCGCGATCCTGACCACGGCATGTCTGATCGTTATACGTCGCGCTTCTTCCTCAAGCACAGCATCATCGAGCAGGCCTTCGACATGCTGCAGGAACAGGGCTTCCGGCTGGCAGGTAGCTGCGGTTCCGGCACCGCTGGCGGCAATTCCGAGCAGCTGAAACCCGGCGTGGACTCCGAGGAAAATCGTTGGAATCACTACAACGAGTTCGTCTTTGTGCGTGACTAAGGTCGCTAACGCGGTTGCAGCCCCTTCTCACTGCGACTGAGATGCATTCGGTTCATCAATCAATCAATCGTCGTTGGCGGCTCGCACATTGTAAACGTGCAGGATGGCGATCGTAGCCGCCGCGGCAGGAAGACTTCTTCGGGTATACTCGGGAGGCTGAGGCGGAAACGGAAATGTTTGCGGGGACACGCGTGTCTAACACGTGGGCGCATAACGCGCGATAAACGTGAGACTCTCTTGTTGATATAGCGTACGCCGGATACATAATAAGGTCGATTTACGAGTCCAGATTTAACGGAGATCACACGGGTCATACAAAAGCGTCGAATGGTAGCTTAGCGAAGTTCCTAGTTTATTTCTTTTCCCGTGAGAAATTCTCCCACAGGGCTATCAGTGTTGTCACGCCGGTGTAACGCCGAGACGAGGCGAGACGGACAAGGCCGGCACATTACCGCGCCACAAAACATCATGTCCGAGAATAACGAACAACCGTCGGTCTTCTGAAACATTGAGTTGCCGAGATACTTTGACTTTAATTGATTCTTACGTCGGAATGAAGAAAGAGAGAGAGAGAGAGAGAGAACGAACGAGCTGAAAGACACGACGAGGACTGATTTTCCTGGACCATTGTCTTTTGATGAAACGCTCACGCGGAACACTGACTACGTTCATAACGAGGAATTGAGGCTTCACGTTCAATGTTCAGCCATGAAAACGTCAAGTTTGCTACACGACTACACTGGACCTTTGAATGCTGCCCGCTGGTGTCATGGGACAAGGTGCAACGTGCGACGGAGTCGACACCGGAGTGTAACAGCCCGAAGGTGTTTGTTCTAAAGCAGAGACAACTCGTAATTGTACATCCTTCAAGTGTAACTAGATGTTCAGATGTATATGAGCTTGATTCATAATTATACCAGTAGAATCCGAGGTTCCTTTGAAAACATGGTATGTTAATATCTCGCGCGACGGAAACGCACCGATTGACATGAGATTCTCTCATTTTCGCAAAGTCCGATTCGTTCCGATACGCTGCCGGAGGGCTGTCGCGAGGGAAGGTCGTCTTATTAAAGAGCAGTCTCGCGTAAATTCAACAGACGGAGAAAGCTAATGCGGGGCGTTTCTCATCGGTATAACGCTCGTAGAAACGCGGGATAAGACTGCCACGGGAAACGCGCAGAAAGAAAAGCGGATCGGGGCGAAGCTGACTTGATGTTGAAATATCTGCGAACGGACGCGACTTGGTCACTTAAAGAGACGACAGTGTCAGATGCATCGGTGATAAGCGCTACCGGGAGCGACGGGCAAGAAAATATAAGGAAGTTACTCAAGACGGATTTGACACAGATGAGAGTTTTTCTCATTAGCGTCTGGACGCGAGAGGAAGTTTAAAAAACAAACCATGAAAAAGTACCACGATCGATAGAGTAATGAAATCGTCGCTCAAGGGAAATTTCCGGCGCAACTCCGTCGAGTAGTCAATGTCAGTAAATGGTCAGACCCCTCCCGAGTAATCACGGTTGATCGCTGGTCGAGTTAGCAGTTAACAACATACTACAATCGGGCGATTTCTTTAAGCGGACTTACGCGAAGAAACAACAGGGAGGAAAGAAAACGGCGAACCTAAAGGTCCGGTAAATTGTTGTTTCCGGATAAATTCGGCTTAAACAGACGACTAGCTCCGTTCCCGACAGGGAGAGAGGCTTGTAGAGTGCGTGTGCTTACAAGTTGACACGATGTTAAACGCGCTATTCAAACGACGGGACGCCAGACACGTCTCTCTCCCCCTCTCTGTCTCTCGTCTAATGATTCTTCGTCAGCTTCTTAAAGCACCAAGTATAGTCACCGCGCTTCTCCCCTTTCGTTTGAAATTCTCTTTCCTGTAAAGTGGCACGAACATAAATGTGGCAGGCAATTTGTAGCTTTCGATCCGTTGAGTCGCGCAGACATCGAAGTACGAAGAGAGCGAAGTGTCCTCGGGAATTTACAGTGAATCCCGCGTCGTAAGGTGCGGAAAAAGTGTGCTCGTAGAGTCGCAAACAGGAGTAAGATTCGGTTACTTTTCCCACTCAAAAAAATGGTCTTACATTATGTAGCGAAAAATATCTAGATACGAGAAATTAGCTATAATGGATAAATGAGCAAACATTGCGATATCGCACATGTTTTGTATTTAATCAATATAGATGACAGAGACGGAATTTATATCTGACCTATTTGTGAAATTTAGTAAGAAAGTCTCTCTGTGGCGCTCATCAGATTAAGGTCAGATTCATAATTGATAACGGGACCTAAATTCGCAGATATTGCTAGAATGCTGCTGCTATAAACTCTATGTATCGCAGACAATTTTCTAGCTGATGCCAAAAACGATAAATTTTATTTTTTGAATGTCCTGCTCGAGTATCCTTGTGTGATTTCTTCTGAAATATGCTTGATAACAATGATAGAGTATGAAATGTCGAAGGGAAGAGTTCGAGCGGGAAAGAAGTGAGCACTTTTATTAGTCGTAACAATTTTCAGGTTTTCAGAAGTACTTGAATTTCAAATAAATATAGCAATTTCTTCGGCAGCCCTTTTCGCCGTTCCGTAAAATGATCCGAAGTGCTGATAATACGTTTTTACTGTAGACACGCTCTAATTGTTACGAGTCGTGCGAGACACGCGACATGTCGTTTGCGCACGTACGTTTTGATTTACAGCAAATTATTTGCGTGCTGAAAGCGACGAAAGAATTCATCGCGATGATAATCTCGTCGCAACAGGTTATCGTGTAAAACGGATTGCGTTCCGCGATCGCTTGAGAGAGCGCCGACGGCACCGAGCAGCGAAGAAGATATCGAGTGTCATGCTGGTTTTTTGTTGTCGCGATATACAATGTCGAAGACATTGTCTTAAGGTCCGAAGCGATAAATCTTGTGGCAGTGTTTCTCACATCGTAACGACACCAATATCTATTGCCGCGGTGATCGATGAATGCATAACATTGCGATAATTATAGAGCCCGCTGAAATTTCATCGCATTTGATTTTCGCAGTCAGCGCGGCTAAAATTATGCATCGCGAAAGATTCATCGCGAATTCGAAGCGACACGGACGCGACTTGATATTCGCTCTTTATAATTATGACACACGCTGCGGTCGACCAGAAACGATTCCCGTGCGATAATGCGTATCATTGCCGTTATTGTTAGTGCGCGATACGCTGTTCGATGAACGATGCATCTGCGTCGCCGCGATAGATTGATTTATAATGACGTTACGTACGGGTTGTCGTGCGAGTTATGCGTGTCAGCGCGAGGCGTTATACCTAATCGAGAGAACGGTGGTGAACGTGATGTCCCGATATGCCCAATTTTAGAAAATTTAATTCATCCATGACGTGCTTTCTGTCCGCGCCGAGATGAAACGTTCTCCGCGATCAAAGTATTTCGCGAGCGGCACTGGTTGCCATGAAGGTCGAAGGGTTGTGTTGGGTGAAAAGAAATCTATTGTTTCGTAGGACGAGTCGAGCGAACGACGTTCTCGATCTTTCTTTTCTCGAGTTTTGCGAAAGACCACGCGTGAGATCAGTTTTCAGACGATGATTCGCGACTGATCGCGACTGACGACGAGATCGCGCCGTGCAATACGTTCAATCCTGCTGGTCGGAGGATTTTGCATCGATCGTAATATCGGGCATGATAACCGTTGCGCGATTACTTCATTAATAAATCGCGCTCGCGACGCCTACTTCCATTTAATCTGTACAAAATAAAGACATTCAGGTAAATCAAACTTGTAAGATAGTAGACAGACGTTGCAGGATTAATATAAGGAAATCTCACGTAGCGACTATGAAATACGATTTACTTTTACGACCGCACGAGTGAAACTTTAGTCCTCTTTCCAACTGCACATATCATTCGGAAATTCGTTTCTTATGTATCATCTTGTGCATTATTTAACACACTTACAGCGTACGCATGTGTTGACCGGCGTTTTACAGAATTTCTCGACTCACCGCGAGTATTGTAATTCTATATTATAATTTGATTTTCGTGGACACGACCGACACAGTGACACGTAAAAATATTGGGCCCAAAGCAAGCATTCATTGCGACGCGCAGAGCGCGTTAGTTAGTTATTCATTATTGACGTCTCATTTCGACATTAGTCTTCGTTGTCGCGCTAGAATCAACGATCGACTTCAGACTATATTATATTGTCAGATAGAACTAAACTGTATTTTCTGATTCCTATATTGATTTCTAAGATACTGCGAGCGATTTTCAGATGCAGCGCAAGGACATGTGAGCGCGTTAGTGATAAAACTCTAAAAATGTTATTCCGCAATATCGTTTCGTTCAGTTCAAATATATTGATATAATCATCTTGGCTCCTCTCAAACAAGCGTCACATGCTCTTGCATTTGTACAGGAGTCGCATAAAAGATAGTACACAAGATACATTTTCGTCGAGAACCTTAGAGAATAAGTTGTCTTCCTATATCCGGGTACGCGTAAGATCGTTTATTTATTCGCGTCGAAATGTCTTTTCCCGGCGTATTATGCGTGCGTGGAAAATTTCGAGATTAGAATCCGTGATATAGAGGCTCTATTCGTAGATTAGAAGCAGTATTATACAACCCGTCGCGAAGTGGGCGAGTCTCGGACGAGCGAATTTGGCAGAACTCAAAAGTCCTTGCGAGTCCTGTCAAATTTCGTCAGAATTCGAATTTCCTTGAAATCGGTCGAGGCTTCGGTCTTTTCTTCAGTCTTTGCTTAGCGTTATGAAGTTTGGTAAATGGATGAAATACTTCACCGAATAGCATTCGGTTCAATGAGAATCTCAGTTTAGCTCCTTAACGCTTGGCGTCCCATGGAATTCGAATTTCTCGAAGCCCGATTGAATTTCTGCGTAATCCATTTTTAATTGAATATTGCCCCTCGCGTGAGCTCTTTTCTTTGAAGCGAAGCTCCCGCAAATTCCACCAAAGTTTAGAGCTTGACACTCGAGATTCTAAGTTTTATTTGTAAGATATAATAGGGAATATACAGAGGTGACTGTAGAAAAGAAATAGTCGACCACGATCGGATCATTTTTCAAACTA